CACACTGATCTTGTGTGCATGGGCACTGTGTCTTTCACTACAGAAACCTTTGCCCACCCCGGAGGTGGGAAGCAGCTGTGAGATCGTGACCCTATAGATCTGACGTGTTTGAATATAAATTGTGCCTCTAGTCTCTACTACTCAGGAAGCTGAGGCAGGAGAATCACTTGATCCCAGGAGTTTGAAGTTGCCTGTGTGGGGGCAGGGGGAGGGGACAGTAAATTTAGGAGCCAGACAGCCCACAGTGTGACTTCAGCCTAGTTATATAACCTGTCTCAATCATATATACCTCAATCACCCAGTCTGTAAAACTTGGGAAGAGAACAGCACTTACTTCACTCTGACTTAATATGTGTTAAGAGCTTAATAAATACCACAGATGCGTTTGCCTTTACTATCTATCTGAAACCCTGGAAAGCCAAGGCTAATTGGGTTAAAAAAAATGAAGCTTTTGGTTTCTTGCACATGTTGCTGACTTAAATGTATGAGGCAGTCTCCCCTGTGATCACGGGTCCTGACGGTCTGTGGCAGTGTGTTTGCAGACCATTGAGAGAAGCAGATTCTCCCTGCAGTTTCATTTGTGAGTACCTGCAGGTCCTGCAGTTCTATGTTGATCTGCCTGCCTCCCCCTCCAGACTAAGAGCTTGTTGGGGGCAAAGATCATGTCCTGAGAGTAACGGCAGCTGGTGATGGTCAGTGGTTTGCTCTGATCAGCCTTGGTGTGAAGCACTTTCAGTCGTTTCCTCCCAGTGCTTCTCCCAGTGCCTTTAGGCACAGGTGCCATCCTCAAAGCTGGCTTCACAGTTGACTCAACAAACCGAGTGACACAGCACTCTTCCCCAAACTTGACAGGTCAAAGGGACCCCTGGGAGCAAGGTATTTGGGGATACTGCCTCCTGGGCCTCCCTTCTGGGGTTGATTCTTGGGGTTGTGCAAGGACCCAGGGATCTGTATTCTCGCCTTAGTGGCACTTCATAGCAAGCTGCTGTCTGGCCAGCACTGCATGGCCCTGACTCCCCTGACTCCCTCATTTGGATCTTAAGCATTTTCTCTATCCACCCTGAGCTGCCTGCTGCTTGAGAGGTTTTGCCCTGTCACTGCCGGACAGGAGAGATGTACAGAGGGCTCATTGGTATGCAAGGGCTTTCTTGTCACTGCCTTCAATTGAAGCTGAAGAGCTGGTGCATCTCTCGGGGATTTTCCACTTTCCTGGCCCTTCCGGAACTGGCTGGGCACCAGCCTGCCAAGGGCACAAGGACAGCGCAGCAACACCAAGGCATCTGTCTGTCGGGGTTTGGAGCCAGCTGCAATGATGTCTCTAAACTAAGGTGGAAATCAGGTTCTTTCAGCAGCCCTGCTTGTGTTCCCTGTTGCCTCTCACACCTCTGCCTGCCTATCACTCTCTTGCCCTCCCTGCTCCGTGTAGAACTGAACTCAGTGCTCCACTGCTGAGCTACACCCAGCCCCCTCCCTCCTCTTATTGAGTACCTATGTAAGGGTGTGTTCAAGTCAGACCAGGAGGACCCCTGCCCAAACGATTTTTCTTAAGATAGGGTCTCACTAAGTGGCCCAAGCTGGCCTTGAATTGACAATCCTCCTGCCTTAGCCTCTGTCTTAGTTACTTTTCTGTCCTTGCTGAGACAAAATACGTGATGTCCAAATTTAAAAGAGGAAAGGTTTATTTGGCTCACAGTTTATAGAGGTTTCAGTCCACAGTTAGCTGGCTCCAAGGTAAGGTGGCTTGGCAGACACACATGGCAGAGAAACAATAGTCCATGGCAAGCAGAAGGTAGCAAAGCAAGCACGATACCTTAGCAGCTTCTTTCTTCCCCTTTTATACTCTATCTAGGCTACTGGGATGACTCACAGCCAGCATGATACTTAGAAGTTGATCCTTAGACTCCTCTAAGGATCTTACAATCCCATTTGTTTAAAGGGATTCCAAACACATTCTGTTTCTCAATCCTTGCTCAACATTTGCAACATGGAGGAGCTTTGCTTAAATACTGATGTCTGTGGCTCCAGCAGAATTTCTGAAGTGACAACCTCATGATTTTTATATGCAGCCAGGATAGAGAACCCATAGTCAATGGACCTACCTTTTCACTGGTATCCATCAGAATCTCCTGCAGGGCTTTATACCAGTTCATCTTGCCACTGGATTAAGAGATTCTTGGAGAAGTGATTGGGTCATGGTGGTGCTATACTCAACAGTGGATTAATCCACTGATGTTCACACCTGAGTGTCCTATTCAGGTATGGGTCACTGGGGACCACCTTTGGAGAGTAAATCTCTCACTAGTGCTCTTCCTCTGTGCTCTGCTTCTGGGGCCGCCATGACATGAGTGACTTTGCTCCACAATGCTTTTCCACCATGATGTTTCTGCCTTGGAGCCAGTTGACCATGGACTGAAACCTCTGAAACTGTGAGCCAAATTAAACCTGTCGTCCTTTAAATTGCAAGTGTCAGGTATTTTGTACCAGCAGTGGGCAAGCTGACCAATACAATATGTGCTAAAATGCAGATTTCTTGGCTCCTAGTTTCTGACTGTGTATATCTGAAATGGGCCCTTGAATGTGCATTTCTAACTCTTTCCCCATGTTCCTCCAGCCACATTTGAGAACCAGCTCACAGGTCTGAAGTTCTGCCTGCACAAATTCACCTGTGTATCTCCCTGTGGGGATCCAGAGCAGCCCAGCTCTGTTCAGTTGTACACATCTCTTCTAAAACTCTGAATTGTGTAGTTATGCTGGTAGTTTCAAATAAGACCATGATGCCGGGCGTGGTGGCGCATGCCTGTAATCCCAGCACTCGGGAGGCTGAGGCAGATGGATCATTGTGATTTCGAGGCCAGCCTGGGCTACAAAGTGAGCTCAAGGCCAGCCTGAACTGCATAGTGAGACCCTGTCTCAAAAAGACAAAAATAAAAAAATAAAAAAGAAAGAAAAAAAGAAATAAGACCATGGACATGGCAAAAACTACAAATCAGGACTCTCTCCAACCTCCAGTCAGTCATCATGTGCTCAACTCAATCCATCAGGGATCAGTGGGGAACACTGAGAGAGCGTTAGCAAGCTGCAGGGGATCCTTGGCTGTGAAGGATCAATGTCATCATTGATGGGGGTATAGACACATATAGCATCTTCATTGTGGTTGCCTGTAGAGCTACCGTGTATATGGCAGAAAAGGTACATCCTGTACGTTGAAAAGACATTCCTGTGATCACTGGCTCCCACTATTAAAAAGACTATTCTGGGTTGAGTTAATACAGTCTGCACATCCTTTGACTGAAAGGGACCAGAAGTGTTTTGGATTTCAGATTTTGGAAGTTTCACATTTACATAATGAGATCTTGAAGATGGGACCCAGGTCTAAACATTAAACTCATTTTTTTTTTCATTTTTGTTTAATATACATTTTATACACATAGCTGGAAAGTGGTTATGTACAATGTTTTTAGTGATTTTGTGCATTTAACACAGTTCAGTAATGTGGAATTTTCCACTCACAGCATCAAGTCACTGCTCAGAAAGGTTTGGATTTTGTTGTATTTTGAATTCCGGATTTTTAGGTTAGGCGTGCTTAACCCGTACAATTATTAGTGGTGAACAAAACCACAGAACACATTGTATGTTTTTATAGTAATTAACAGAAAATAATGGAGACTTTGAGGCTCTCAATATTTCAAATTGCTTTCTTGCTCCATGCCTGGGGAATTTTTGCACACTGGCTCAAGACGGTATCAAGTAGGAATGGAAATGATGGAAACCCCCGTCAGGGAAGGGAATTGATTTCCGTGGCATGAACTATGACCAAGACTCCTTGAGAAGCCTGTGTCTACTCTGTGGTTGAAGACTGCTGGGCTGAGCAGCTAAAGGCATTCACCCCACTTTTATCAGGAAATGACTTGGATGAGATGAGTACAGACCCCAGTTCTGTGTTTGTGTCTGGCACCTTAAAGCAAGCTCACTTTAAGCCTCAGCCCTCTATGGTAACAGCACCAAACATCTTTCTACTAGCAGGACACTAGTCATGAATATGTGGAGCCTGGGGTCCCGCTGCAATAACCTTTCAGGCATTCACATAGGAGGCTCCTTAAAAAATTGAAGGTGTTGACTGGGGTGCAACTCAGGGATAAGTGCACTTGCTTATCATGTGCGAGGCTCTGGGTTCCATCCCAGAACCCCAAAAATGAAAACTAAAACTAGCTGGCTCTGACGGTGCACGTCTGGGAAGCTGAGACTGGAAGAGGGCAAGTTCAGCCCACCTTGGCAATTTAGTGACTTAGTGGGATCCGGTCTCAACAAAGGGAGGGAAAAAGAGGGGGATGTAGCTCAGTGTAAAAGCCCTAAGTTCAGTTCTCAGTACCACACAATTAATTTTTTTAAAAAAAGGGGAGTTCTTTCCGAAAGGACCTCCCGTATCCACCCAAGGTACTGGGCTTTCATATTCCTTTGGGGAGCAGTTTTTGTCTGTTGAGATTCTCTTTACAAGACAGTGCCATGCTGTGTCCAGCTGACTTTTCTGTTTGGCAGATTCAGAACTCACTGGGATCACATTCTTGTCCAGACTAAAACAGAGAAAAGATTCTCTTCTGATCAGTGACCCCAGCAATACCCTGAGTTTTTCACTTTGGGTGGGTGGAGGGGAACAAGTGTGTGGTGAAAGACTGGGTTGAGTCAAAAGCCTGGATCTATCATCATTTTTAGTGAAACCTCCTTCCATCAGTACCTTGACCTGCAAAAGACACTTTCCACCTTTCTCTGAACTGAAAGAAGGGTGGCCTGGACAGCATGGCAGTGGCTTTGTACCTTCAGGTCTGCCCTTGGAGCACAATAGCCCTGTGTTCCTTCTGGTGGGCTGGCAGGGTCAGGCCTGGGGCACCCCCCAGATTCTGCTGCACCTGAGCTTCTCCACACATCAGTGTTTCCTGCTTCTAAATCACAAGTATGTCTGGATATGTAAATTGATCCTAACTTTCCCTTTCATCTCTCTGCAGTGAAATGCAAAATGGAGGACCAAGAGGTACCTGGAACCAAGATCACCACATCACCTTAGCCACACTTGTATCTCTTGCCGGCCAGGCACAAATTACCCTGTGCATATGAGGAAAATGTCCACATTGTGCTTTCTCTGACATGTCTTTAATGAAAAGACTTGGTGCATGTGAAAACAGAATCTTTTCTGCACAAGACAGAATCTGTTGCAAACACATATAAGTGCAAATAGTTTAAAAAGATACCAGTCTTAAATTTGTTCGTTATCCCCAATTATTCTTTCATCTAGGTATTTCTTCAGTGCTTCAGATGTAACTCTCTAAGCCAATTATTCTTAAAACCTATGATGGAATTCTAATTGCCAGAGATGAAGTGCTCTTTTTATCAGTTTCCCCATTTTTATAAGATCGATATTTTATGTCTCAAATCTGTGTTCTTTTCTTTTGCAGGAATGGAACCCAGGGCCTTATGGTGTGTGGTAGGGAAGAGTTCCACCACTGAGCTATACACACCTTAGCTCAAACAAGACATTTAAACCCAGATGTCAGTCATTAAGAGTTTTTGTTGTCTAGGTCCCACAGTATTACAGAAAGTTCCTGCTTTTTTGGCTAAATCAACTTATGACTCTCATTTGTTCTGCAGTTTGCAGTTAGGCAGGATTCTCCCATTCACAATGCTGCAGATGCGGCCAAAAGCCTAGGAGCAGGATAGAGTTGTTTTGACAAGCTACCACACGTCTTAAGTAAATAGTAAAGCCTTTATTTTTTGTGTTAAGAACAGCATTTTGAAAATAAACCTATCTGCTCATGCTTAACAACCTTTTAAATCTGTAATATTTATGTACAGTCATGTATGGTACACATTGATTGTCTTGAAATTTCTGAATGATTTTTTTATAAGTATGCAAGTCAGCCAGGGGAAGATAAAGGTACATTATAAAACACACATTAATACATTTAATAAATATATATTATCTATCAAAAATGAGCCTTAGCTCTGTATCAATTAATAAAAAGCACCTGCTGAGAACTCCCCAAAGCTGGTATAATCACTGCACCCTTGGATTATAAAAGCCACCATGCCCTCTTTTAGTTTGGGGTTCAGCCTGAAGTGTTCAACTCATCCTGCAGCAACTCAAGAGGACCACCCCTGGCCTGTACTTGTTCAGGGACCCTGACCCCACACATCTGTGCTAAAACAAAACACACAAAACAAAAAGACAAAACAACCACTAGACACCCAGCTTCCAACAGCTGGCTCTTAATCCTGGAAACACTCGAGATGAACGGGGCTCCCCAGTTTGTAAGTTCTTGAAACTCAGTTCCTGAGCCCCACCCTCAATGTCCAGTGCAGAAGTCCTGGCTGGACCAATTTGCTATTAAAAGAGGCAACAGGAGTGGCTGTTATAGTCCCAAAGCGATGTTACTAACAAGACATGGAAAAATTTGTGCTTACAATGAGGGATTATTCACAGATGCTGTCCTTCCAGGTCATTTTCCCCAAGTAAGCCTTGTTTACATACACAGATCTGAAACAGAGGTACTGTTCAATTCTGTATTTAAACCTTATTCCATGGGAAGTTGGATACCACTGTCTCTGAGGGAAGCGTCCTCCTGGTGCTTTGAGTGAACCCATTAGAAAAATAGCAGATTTCCTTCCTTTCCCACCTCAGCCCCATCGTGAGAGCGTACAGCCCACCCTGAACCTTAAAGCCAAAAGAAAACAAAACCCAAAAGTGCTAACCTACCAGATTTAAAAGGAAAAAAAGAAACAGAAATAGTCTCATCATTATAAGTGAGGCTTCCCGTGGCTCAATCAAAGATGGTTGTTTTCATGGCGTGAAAATGCTACTTTCACAGGTAGCCATTTACATAGTGCTCACCTTATATGTGTGGACAACAAAGAACTTAGAGAGACCCGATCAATCGTGTGCACTCCTCCCTTCTGCAAGGGGGGCTTTTGCAGACCAAGTCACTGATGGTATCAGAAAGCTCCAAAGGACTCCAGAGAGCAGGGGTGAGCAACCATTTCCTGGCATGAGAATGTGCAATGTTGTCGTTTTCCCAGCAGACCGGACTGAGGGGCTCAGAGACTTCTTTATCTGCAGAATGCTGGGTCTGCATGCAGCTGCCCCAGCCCCAGCCCCAGCCCCAGCCCCAGCTCCAGGCCCTTCCTTCTTCACCTCCCCAAGATTCCAAGTTTTCAGCCCACCCAATGGTGGTCCTTGAGCAGAGGGGACCAGATCAGATTCTCTAGAAGCAAAGCACATGCTATGGGTGGGGGCGGCGCTTCTGGGAAGCTCAGGGAGGGGGACGTTTTGGTGCCATGCTCTCTTGTCTCCGTGCTTGGTAACATAAGAAAATGTAGGAGCTGTAAGGGAAATTTACACACGGGGTGGCCAGATGGCCAGCCTCACCTCCTGAGTGCTCTGCAAGGACAGGTAGGGGGCCGGGAGGGGACACAGCAGAGACTAGGGCCTCGAGACAAATCAGGTTTATTAAAATATACTCAGCTCAGAGTACTGGCTTATGAAGAAGTCAGTTCCCCCCACCTCCACCCCCACCCCCACCACTAACCTTTCTCATTTTCTTTAAAGGTTAAAGGCTTATGGGTAGTTTTATAGAAAAAGCAATGTAGTGATTACAGTCTATGCAAAAGGCCCCACCCTCGTTGGTACATTCCACGTCAGGTTAAAACTCTTTGCTCTGACTCCTTGCTAGCAGTTATGCTGGCCAAACAGTGCAGAGAACATGGGGGCTTTCAATGGCCGGGATGCTGGAAATGCCAAGTAACAAAGGAATGACTTGCTTAGGACAGATGGAAACCATGACAGAAACAATGGGCTTTGAAGAGAGAGCTATTTTCATGAAACCTACAGAAAAGCAAGAGAAAAATGTCCCCCACTTTCTCCCAAAGCAGCAAGAAACCCTCATGGGATTCATTCTATCAGGAACTTTACCCTGATCCACAGAAAAGACCCAAGATGTCACTGCTTGTAGGCAGCAGGATGTCATCTCTCCATCCTACAGGGAATCCAAGGAGTTCTTCTGGGTGACATCATCATGGAGAACCTGCTATGGCACTGGCCTTCCAATCTGGCTCAAGGAGGGGCTTCTAGCCCATGGCTCTGTTTGAGCTTTTGGAACAAACAAGGGATACACCTGGGAAAAGGACCCCCCTGCTAAGTGCAGAAAGCAGGAGGGACTGTGGCTCCACCATGGTGACTATTATTTCTAGGGCTTCACAGAAGGGGGCAGGATGGCCTTCTTGTCATAGGTGCAACCAGAGATGATGGTCCCTTCAACACCCAGAGGGCCTCTCCTCTTTGGCACGTACCAGGTTCCTACACCACTTCTGGCTGTAAAGCTGCCCCGACGATTTATCTTAGAATCACACCCACAGCATCTTAACTCCCCTGAAATGTGCAAACTACCAGGCAAGCTAGGGAAAAGCCACTGTTAGTCACCCTCAATGACACGGTCTTCTCCAAGAGGCGGCCTGGATCTGGCACTTGCTGGGGAAGGTGATGGCCAGCCCCCGACCCTCTATATGGCCAACATCAGCCAGGCCTGCGAGCTGTGAGTTCAGTTCTGGTCTATCCCGAGGATGACACAGTCTTCCCAGCCACATTTTCCAGTGAGCCTAATACTATTTGCAATGAGCTCTGTTTTAGTTTGCAGGGACCAAGGTTGGCATGGCATTAGGTGTCTGTGTGTGTGTGGCAGAGGAGGGCAGGGGAGGGCAGTCGGTGTTAGCTTTTCAGTTCATCAGTGTTCACATTTACACAAAAGCCCCTCGGCCGGGATTTCCAACTCTCCTGGCTGTGAGGCGGCCTTGCTCGGCTACTGTTACTGATTTCTCCCTCAAGAAAGACACGGCCAGGGAATGAATTGGTAAGAGATTCTTATTCTCTGGAACTTAAAGTTGTTCACCAGAGGTGTCTTCCAGTGTGAGTTGGCGGAGCAGTTGGGATCTGGAATAACACATAAGGATAACACACTGAGAACTCAACGTCAACGTCAGAAACGGATTCGTTCATGAGGTGCTAAGGACAAGCTGCCTTGCTCTTACCTAGATGGGCCAAACAGTTCCCAAAGAAAGCAGTAACCATGGTCTGCCATGCTGCTTTGGGTCTTGGGAGGGCCACCTCCCTTGTGCTGCAATCATCCCCTCCGTGAAACAGGCTTCCTTCCCCAGAAAGGCACCCCTGAAGCTTTGGGTGTTTTTACCCACACTGACCTTAAATGAATCAGGAAAGCTTAAGAGTGACAGATGGGGACTTTTCTAACCGTATTTATTATAACACACAGGCTGAATGCTTGTGAATGAGGCCTTTCTTGGCTCTGGACAATAAACAGCACAGTGAACGCTAGGGGATTTTAAGAATACAAATCTGTAATTCTTTTTGATATCTGAGCATTTTCCAAACCAATGCAAACTGAGGCCTAGCGAAGCATTCACAAGCCAGAAAAACCAAAGTTCCCTCCAGAGATCAGAGACCATCCCTGACTTCCATTTATTAAAAAAAAATCAAAAAACAAAAACTGCTCAGGTTGAGTATGGAATTGGCACATGAAATAAAGGATGGAAATTCAATTTACACATGTAAACTGGCTCATGTGCTATTTCTGAGAGAAGCACATAGCTGTGTTTGGAAATTAAATGTGGGAATGAGAGTGCATCTTAGAATTGCTGGAAAAGCAAAATAATGTCCTTCCATAGAGGCAAAACTGAAAGGATGGTGATTCTGCTGATGGTCTGTTTGGCATCAGATAGTAAGCCTGGTTTTGTGTTTGAAGAGTCAAAGATAATCTTGATTTCAAAAACGTCTGTTAGGAGTTGGGGTGAGGCAACCCCTGCCCCGCTGGGGCACAAGGATAGAGTGGAGACCAAGGGCTTTAAACTAGGTTGGATGTTAGCAAAATCTGCCAGGGGTACTTCGCACTGTGGGCTTGTCATTTCCCAGGGAGAGGGTTGGGGCACTGTATTAAAGGAAAGCCAAATAATTCACTGGGTAAAGAGCCCCTAGAAACAGGTACTCTTCCTAAGGAATCTACAGATGGCTAAGTACTGTACAGGTAGGTTTTCTGTGGGTGCAGAAAGGGGTAGGAGCGAAAGAAGAAAAATGGAAGCACTGCATGCATTTAGCTGCGAGGGATGTCAACTTGAGCCGCTATCTTTGCAGGCCACAGAAGCTGCCTCCACAGGACGTGTGGCCCTGTTGCAGCTACTCCCCACACAGAGTGCTCCTGGGCTTGCTGCCCAGCGTCACATCTTGATACTTACAGTCCCACCATTGAGCACAACGGCCATCTCGGTTGGCTGATACACGTTGCTTCTAAACGGAGCACTGGGTCTGTTTCCCAAGCCACCACTGGGTTTCTTCCCCAAGCTGCCACCAGACCTTTTTCCTAAGCTGCCGTTGGAAAATCCTGCTGTTCGGAGAGCTGAGGAAGGGAGAGAGGAGTAAAAGGAGGGAGGGGGAGGGAGAGATTGGCAACAGGACAACACCAAAAAAGACACATGATTTTGTTTTCTTCCTCTGCATCAACAAGGCACTCTGGGCACCCCCACACACCCAGCCACTGTGGTGGCTCCTCCCCTTTGTCACAAGCCTGATTCAAAACAGAAATCACAAAGGCGCTTTGTTCTCAGGCTCTCCAGGAGTCTGACCCTTCTCAGTGGGGCTGTGAAGTTTGTAGAGTCCAGGGTGCCTGCAGCTTGCAGGGGAGAGGCCCAGGGTCTAGACCAGCGATGGTGAACCTTTTAGAACTTTCAGTGACATCAAACAGTCTGCTGTGGCACTCGAGCCATGGGTTCGCCACCCCTGGCTAGACCCTCCCTGCACACATCCTGCAGGCCACAGCAGCCTTAAGGTCTCCTTTGACAAAGAGCTCCCCTCCCCCTCCCCGCAGACTGCTACTCACAAGTCACCACCAACGTTCAGAATTGGGCACTGTTTCTGGATACACACAGAGTGGGAACAGCTAAGAATACAGACATCAAGCACACAATAGCACCTGTCATCATGGCAAAGTGGCCTTCCACAGACACGCAGGGTTATGCCCAAACAGGAATAAAAGGGTGGTCTGTAGCAACAATGGAAAAGTTAGTTAGCATTTTTTACCCTGGAAAGGTGGGTAAATGGTGTTTCTTTTTTGCTGTATTTTTAAGTTTCCTGTTTCGTAAAGAAAAACTGAAAAGACATGGAGGAACTTTAAGTGCTTATTGCTAAGTCAAAGAAGCCAGTCTGTAAAAGCTTACAAGGCATAACTCCAGCTGCACAGCTCCTGGAAAAGGCAGGACTGTAGAGACAGTAAAAGATGAGTGGTTGTCAGGGGTTGGGTAGGGGTAGGGATGAATGGGAGGCGTACAAGGTGTTTAAGGCAGTGAAATTATTCTGCATGATACTATATTGGATACAGGCACAATGTACCTATCAAAACCCATAGAACTGTACAATACAAAATGTGAACTCTGACTGAAATACAGACTATGCCTGGGAGTGCTGCTCAGTGACGGAGTGCTTGTCTAACATGTGAAGGCCCTGTGTTCTATCCCCAGCACTGAAAAAAGAAAAGAGGACTTTGGGAAAAAATAATGTGTTAATAGTGATTCATCAACTGCAACAAATATATGACTACTGCAAGTTGTCAGTAGAGGAAACTACTATGGTGGGGGACTTCCTGCAATTCCTGTTTAATTTCTGTTGTTGTTCTGGGGATGAATTCAGGGCTTCGTGCATGCTAGGCAAGTGTTCTGTCACTGTGCTATATCTTTTCATTTTTTAATTTTGAGACAGGGTCTTCCTAAGTTGCCAGGATAGCCTTGAGTTTACAGTCTTTCTGCCTCAGCCTCTTGAGTAGCAGGAATTATTACAGTTGTGTGCCACCATGCTAAGCAGCTTTTTGATAAACTTCTCTAAAACACTGTTTTAAAAAGAGAAGGAGAAACTATTTCAAAGATCAAAATAGAATCTTCTCATTTGTAAGATGGCATTTTCACCATCTTTCTTCTCATTGAAAGTACCAACCCTAGCCAGGCATGATGGCACACACCTGTAGTCCCGGCACTCTGAGAGGCTGAGGCAGGAGGAATACAAATTCAAACCCAGCCAGGGAAACACAGTGACTTAGTGAGACCTTGTCCCAAAATTAAAAAACAAGAGGACTGGGGTTTGTAGCTTAGTGCAAAGGTCCTGGGCTCAAAACCCTGGGCTCAAAATTCTAATCTTGCTTTGGTTAAAAAAAAAACAAACAAACAACAACAAAGACTCATTTAGAGCTGGGGACATAGCTCAGCAGTAGAGCATTTGCCCTGAGTTCCAACCCTAGCATGGGAAGCGGGGAGTAGGAGGGTGGTCTTACTTAAAAGTCTTCCCTGAAGGGAGCCAATCTTCTGGCTAAAATGAGCACGACAGCTTGAATTTTTTACAAGTTACTTGAGGCAGGGACGGGAATCACCTTAGTACTACGGTTAATCTCTATAGAGTACCAACAGGGAGCCAGACACTGTGAAAAGTCATAAATATGCCCAAGGTCACACAGCTGGTAAGGGAAAGAATGAGCCCTGACTGAGAACTGGTGTTCTTACCCAGCACACCATACCCTCTCCAGATGATTGTTCTTAACCATTACACTAAGTGACTTAGAAGAAACTTGAGTTAAGTGACATTATAGACAGCTCAGACTGGCCCAAAAAAATGGAGGTGGGATGGACAATGCAGGTTCCAAGAATACTTAAAAATCCTCTGCTTGCTTTGGCATCTCCAAGCCTTTCAGTAGCTGATTTTAATCCCTTTTTTTTTTTTTTTTTTTTTTGGTGCTGGGGATCAAACTCAGGACCTTGTACTTGCCAGACAGGCACTTGTGCCACTGAGCCATACCCCCGGCCCTATCACTTTTTTTGAAATGCAGGGCCACAGGAGCTAGAGGTGGGGTGGGAACCAAGGTTCCACTCATCCAAGGGATGCGTTGGCCTGAAGGTCCCTCTCTGCAGTGGCCATCTGTGGCTCTCCTCTGATGAATACCCAACCTGCATTTAAGATCTCTGAGTATTGGCTACAACTGCCTCCTCCCTGGCCTCAGCTGGCCAGATGACTCAGGCCTGGCCAAGCAAGGTGGGCCAGCCCCCTGGACAGACTGATTGCCTCAGGGAAAGGGATTTAGGTCCAATCAGAGTTAAGGTTAGGAGCTGTGCTCAAGCTCTTTGAAAAGAGCTCCTTCGCTGGGCTCCTGTGCAAGCCTGGAGCTCATGGGCTGCCATGATGCTAACAGCCAAGAGATGGAGAAAGTCCAAATCTTACCATCCATTACTTGAATCCTGAATCTAAAACTTCCTGCAGCCTGCTGTCGTGTGTGTTTGTTTATTAATGGTTTATGCTGAGCATCACCCCTAGCCTAAAGGGTCCGTTTAAATAGCATTTAGCTCTAATGAGATCTGAGAACCCAAATCCCCAGCAGAACAAAGAACACTTTTTCTTTCTTGCTGCTTTTAGGGGTGAAGGTTTACTATGCTTTACTAATGCTTTTTAAGGTGTGATCCAAGATGCCATATCCCTTAGTGTACTTTAATCTTTTACAGCATACCACATTGATATTTATTCACAAGCAGCAGCCTGGTGAAGTTGTATATACATAGGGCCTCACTCAGGAGAAGGAAATATGGGGGTGAGGTTCTCTATGTGGTCCAGAGAACACTCCTGCCTTCTCAGGGCACATGAGAGATGCGGTCTCAAGGGAAGAGAAGCCAGGCACAGTGGTGCATGCCTATAATCCCAGCACCCTGGGAGGCTGAGGCAGGAGAATTGCAATTTCAAGCCCTGCAATATAGTGACTCAGCAAGACCTTGTCTCAAAATTATAAATAAACAAAGAAACAGAGAGAGAGTGACAGAGACAGAGAGTAAGGAAAAAGGAAGGAAGAAAGGATAGAAGGGAGAGAGGGAGAGGGAGGAAGGAAGGAAAGTAGAAAGGAAGGCAGGCTCTGGGTTTAATCCTTAGTAATGCTAAAAAAAAAAAAAAAAAAAAAAAGAGTCCACAAGGCTGGCAGGAAGTTTGAAGTGCTGAAGAAACAGGACCAACTACAGCTTCTGTGCCCTGGCTATTCCAGGAGGCCCAAGGGCTCCAGGATTAGGTCCCATATGGGGCCAGGTTCCTAAAATACAAACTGGTTGAGGTCAGCACCAAAGACGCCAACAGCTGCTCCTCTGTGGCAAGGGAGTGTACCCAGGTGGCTCTGAGTGGGCAAGCCAAGGATTTCGAGAATACAGGCCAGCCCAGCCAGGGCTCCAATGCAGCCCTCCACGTGAACTTTCTGAGGGAACCGATTTTGCCTGTGGCCTGCGCTGCCTGCTCTCCTGTGCATTTTGATGGCTATGCATTTGGGATGATCCAAAGAGGGCTATAAAAAAAAGTTAGTAGCTCACACCTGAAATCCTAGCTATTCAGGAGGCTAGGATAAGGAGGATGACAAGGCTGAGCCCAGCCTGGGCAACTTAGTGACTTACTGAGACCCTGCCTCAGAAAGGGAGTGGGGCAGAGATGGAGCTCAGTGTGGATCCCCAGTACTGAAAAAACAAATGATCTGTGGCTATCACTCGGCACTTTCTGGGTTCAATATTTAGTAATGGAAATAAAATCCGACAAAACCTAAGGTTCCTCTCGAGATGGGGACAGGGAGCTCAGGGCAGTCAGTAGAGCAGTCATTTCTGGGGTGCCATTTGACTTATGTATGAAGACTTAACATGCAAACTCTTTGACTCTTATGTAGGAATACTTTCCTGCATTAATTGGTCAAAAGCAGAAAGATGAATGCATAAGTCTTCATGCAGCATTATTTACTAAGGAAAGCCAGAGGCAAGTAGAACACTTGCCACAGGAAGATCAGAAAAATAAATCATGGAGTCTAATGGAAAACTCCCCAACATCCGAGGATACTGTAGCTCTACGCTACTGACCTTGGAAAGACCTCCACAGCGACTTGAGCAGCACGTGCTGAACACCAGTGGTCTCAGTCTGGTTGCAGGCCAGCCCTGACACTGTCGGTACCAACCTGGGTCCCAGGACTCCTGGGTCCCGGGTCCCCTGATGTCTGGATCTCATATGGATACAAAATACTGGCTACATTTCTATGAGAGAGAAGGAATGGGATTCTGAAAGTCAACTTTCCTCCTCCTCGTTCTGCTGTGTTCTTACAGTGTAAGCCTGAACAAACTACTTGACACCCCTAAGCCTCAGTTTCCCATTCTGTAAAATGGGTCTGATAATTGTAATTTTTCCAAATGCCCAGCGTTGTCCTGACACATCAGAGAAATGAGGGACACTGAGGAGCTTTAAGAGAAAGGTATCTCTGCAGCAGAGCGTTCCAGTGTGTGAGCCCCAGAACCAGCCTGCCTGGGTTCCAGCCCTGGCTCTGTGGCCTGGGTAAGTCTCTTAGCCTCTCTCAAGCCTTTCTGTGCTTCAGTTTCCTGTCTGCAAAACAGACCTCCTGTTATTGTAGGGACTAGGGCAGAAGAGACACTAAAACGTTCAGAATGGTGTCCAGCCCAAGCCAAGACCCAGCAAAGATTAGCTAGTTTTAATTTTTAATGACCCTAATGCTTAAGTGCTGCTAGCATCCCAGTTTCACTGCAAGGAAATAAGACCATCACATTAAACAACACTGGTTCTTAACCTCTTGGGGGTCACAGGTGGCTCTGAGGCTTTGACAGAGTGATAGACCAGTTCTCCAGGAAACATGAATGTACACAAATTTGCACTCACTTTTGTCCCACTACCCCTGATCCAGGGATCTTGAGAAGCCAGTGAAGAGATGGCTCTACCAGAACCCCAGGACCTGGACAGTTACCGTACCCCCTACAGGGCCCTTGGGCTCCCAGGAATGGTCTCCCTCCTGACCCCATCCTTTGGCATACCAGGGAGCAAACCCCAGCTGGCTGAGACTGCCATGTTCACCTGCCTCTCCACAACACAGCCTTCCTGGCCTGGGACTTTCGGTAAGAATAGAGCAGCTTGGACAAAGGCTCTGCAGGGGCAGGAGGTGCACAGGAAGCTGGGTACATCTAGGTGTGAAGGAAAGATGTGTGTGGAAGGCCTTGAAGGAACTTTTGGGTGGATGCGCCTCCCTTGCCTGCAGGGGACGGATGGGCTGTGCTTCAGGCCTTGGCATGAAACCCGAAAGGGCTGACTGTGTAGTATGACTGGCTGCTGAGCACAGTCCCTTCACCAGGCACCTGGGTGGACGTCACTAAAGTAGGAATCATGACAATCTCAAATGGGTCACCTTCTTAAGAGTCTCCATTTCTTTATTCGCTCATCTCTAAGATGAGATGGACAGTAGGACCTACCTCATTGGCAATGGCTGAGGACTAATGAGATGACACAGGCTAAAAAGGATCGTGCCTAGCACAGAGTCCGTGCTCCAAAGGATGACTGCACTAGGTAATTATCACTACTGCTGCTGCTACTGTTACTGGTTATTGCTGCTGCTACTGTTGTTGTTGCCCTTGATATATCTTTAGGTAACTGAGAAAAGATAATTTTGTCTCATCTTGAGGGCTGGGAACTCTGCCAACTCCCTTCCATAATGATTCAAAGGGACACTTCTCAAGCATTTATAGCAGGCCGTTGGGTCCCTGTACGGCATCTCCCAGGCAGGTCTTATTATGACCTCATTTCTGAATCTGGCTGCAGCAGTCCCGGGTACCTAGACAATGTCACCTCAAATCTCACCACCCAATGAAGTGTGTTCAGTCCATTGACAAAGTTATAGGGATATTAGTTATAATCAGGAGTTAGAACTGGACAATGCTCCAGTGTCTTGTCCTTCCAGGGCCAATTCTGGGATTCATTCCACATGTGTCTCAAGTAGGATCAAGCTCCAGCTGCCTATGGTGGTGACCAGCTCACAGATGCACTTATGTTGACATCTTCTTGCCTTCTCAAGTGGGGCAGGTGCAGGTTCTCATCCCAAGTGAACCCCTGCCCCACACCCCTGTTTAGGGCTCTGCTTTCAGAAGACCAACCCAGACCTAGAAGCTCCATGCCAAGTACCACAGAGGCCTGGCACCAGTGTTATTTCCTGCAACAGCTCTATGGGATACATTCTCTTGTTTCTTGTTTCTCAGATGAGAACAACTGAGGCTCAGGAAGGTGACATCATTTGCTCAAAACCACACATCCGGGAAGGGGCACAGGCAGAATTTGAACCTAGACACCTGCCTTCAGGGCCCAAATTGTACATTCCTCATGACTGAGGTGGGGAAGGGTAAACAGAAACACTGACTATCATAGCATCCTGCATCTATCTAGCACATGGGTCAAAAACTCAAGCACTTGCAGGGCACCAGGGAACTGATGATAATGTTATAGTGGACGAGGGAGTAGGAGAAAACAGTGCAGAGTGCGGCAAGCATCTTAAACAGTAGATCACATTGAAGGGCAGCACAACTTGGTGAGGGCTAGAAACAGGGCCTTCTGGTACACATGGGCCTGAGTTCCAGACAACTATAGCCAAATGGGAAGGTCAGCTCAGTGTTGCGAGATACAACTATTTTCTTTTGCAGTACTGGGTGTTGAACGATGGCCTTTTCAGTGTGCTACATCCACAGCCCTTTTCTTTTTTTTTTTTTGGTTTTTCTCTGGTACCGGGAACCGAACTCATAACCTTGCGCTTGCCAGGCAGGCGCTTTGCCCCTGAGCTAAATCCCCAGCCCCATCCACAGCCCTTTTCTATTTTGAGACAGGTCACAGTAAATCACTAAGGTGCCTAAGCTGGACTTGAACTTGCAGTCTCCCTGCTTCAGCCTCCCAGGGTGTTGGGATTACAGGTGTGGACCACCACGACCAGCTCAACTCCTTTTTTTAAAGTGCTAGGGATCAGATCCGGTCCTGGCACATGCCAGGCAAGCACTTTAACACGAGCCACACCCCAGCCCTGACTTTTCAAGAAAAGCTCGAATTTTTAGAATAAATTCATTGCCAATTAATAGAAATAAAGCTAACTAAAAATCTACCTCTGGGACAGTTTCAGCACAGGGACTAATACTGTGGACTCTGGTCTCCCTCCAGGACAGGGACCACCCATCTGCACGCAGGTGAGAGTCCTTCTGGGACACACCTGCCCCAGCCAGTAAGCGCACGTTACCTGCACTGTGCTCATCCATCGAGAAGGCCTGGTTCTCCATGTAGGTGCGCGGTAGGTGCACATCCTCCTCAAACGCTGTCTCCCGCATCCTAGGCTGCGACGTGTCGAAGTAATTGGGTGGGTTTTCCTGCAGGGGCGGGAGCAGGGTGCAGTGGATCTCGGGGATGGCGTGAAAGATGACAAAGACCCATCCGCTGGCTGCCAGCGTGATGGCCAAAGTGGGGTCGCTCCAGGCGTCTCCTTGCTGCATCATGGCATTGCCGAAGAGGTACATGGTGATCCAGGCCACCCAAATAAGCAGAGAGAGGAAGGCTGTTATCAGAATGAAGGCGCCGTTCAGCTTCCACCTCTTGAACTTGCCACAGAGCGTGAAGAGGGCCTGCCCCAGGGTGAGCACGAGTAGTACCATGACGTAAATGAGGGCCATCACGAAGTCCATGGGCTCGTAGGCGCAGGCCGACTTCATGTCACGCAGCACCGTCAGCACCAGCCACTCGGTGGCGATGATGACCTGTACCAACATCAGGGACAATGCCAGGCCCACCATCTGCCAGCCTGCTGGGCTTGTGCCCTGGCACACCAGCTTCCGCACACGCCACGCCTGGCTCAGCAGGCAGGAAAAGCAGAGTGCAAAGAGGACACCCCACAGGAAGCGGCGTATTGAGCAGATAGTCTCGTCCATCCGGATGATGAAGGCGAATGTCAGCCCAAATAGGCCCAGGGTCCCCACGAGGAAGAGGAAGTGGAGGCACACAGGCCTCCTCTTCTCCTTGTCCTTGATAAAGGGCAGCCGCACCAGGAGTATGAGCATCAAGAGCAGTGTGATCAGGGCGCCTGCCCCGGCCACTGCCTCCACCACGATGCCCCAAATGGCGTCCAGGTCGCACAGGGACACGTACTGAGGGAGGAGGTCCAGCCCGCAACCGCGGGATGTGCTGGCGTTTTCAGAGGCCACAGAGGCAATCACCAAGAGCAGGAGGAAGGCGAGCACCTGGTGGGTTCTCATCTTTATCTCCAACACCATGAATGTTCTAAAAGAAAAGCAGTAAGAACGGTTAGGGAAGAAGATCCATTCACTGTGAGACTCCTACTCTTCTTTTTTCCCCCTCAGTCCTGGGGATTGACCCCAGGGCATTTGCACTGACCTATATCCCCAGCCCTTTTATACCTTTTGATGCTGAGACAGGGTCTCGCTAAGTTCCTAAGTTGCCCAGACTGGGCTCAAACCTGTGATCCTGCCTCAGCCTCCCAGAACACTACATTTGCAGACGTGCACCACCATGTATGGCTTCTCCTGATTCCTTGTAGAAGAGCTGTTTCATTTCAAACCTGTAGCCCACTCAGGGGCTTTAGACACATCCAGCAAAGGCATCTCCCTTTCTCCAGGCATGGTGGGCCCTCGGTGGGAGACTCTGTCTCCCATCTGCATCCTTGACTGGGGACAGGAAACAACTGTGAGTCACCGTCACTCGTGGCTGGAGGACCTGGTGGGAGGGAGACCCACCTTCTTTATGTTCTTTAAATCTGATACTCCAGGCCACATCTGGCCTCTTCAAAATAAGGGAGTAAGAGCAGACTTGGAAGAGACAGCCACAAGCCAGGCCTGACCCTGGAAGAACAGCACACATTCCCCCTTCAGTCTCCTAAAGCCACCAACTTACATTTACTGACCAGCACTCTAGGCCAAGAACTGGGCCAGACCAGCTCTCATAATGCTTATGAGGCAGGTCCTATTGTGACCACCATTGTGCAGGTGACAGTGAAGGTCTCTAGGGGATGACAGTTGTGCCAAGTCATACAACTCAGCCCCTCTCAGAGGCTTCCCAGCCTTCCCAGTGGAGTAGTAAGCCTCCGTACCTAAGGCATAGATCTCGCTCCCTGGATGCAGCCAAGGCGGGTCGGAGAATACTGGGGGGAACACATCATGTCTGGCCTGAACGTGTAGACACATTCTCCTTGTCACCATTCCCTGAGCAACGTAGTGTAACAACTATTTACACAGCATTAGGGATCATGGAGAGATTATTTAAGTGCATAGGAAGATGCGCACAGGCTATAGGCAAACACTAAGCCATTTTACATAAGGGACTTGAGCTTCCTTGGACGTTGGTATTGTAGACACTGGTATCTATGGGGGTCCCGGAACCGACGCTCTGTGGATGCCCAGGGACCAAGGAATATCCAAAAGGCGCTGTGCCTCTGTTGCACACTTCACCTCACGTACTCTGTTCCCCTCCAAAGAGCTCCCATGCTCTGGATCTTGGTTCCATCCCAGCTCATCTCCCTCTGGGTGGCTTGCAGACTGGCTGCTGCTCTCTCTTGCCGCCAGGCAAGCTGGACTAACCCAAGTCTCCTCTTCTGGCTCTGGCTCTTTTGACTTGGACACACCGTTCCCTGCACAGAAAGCCGCACCCCCTAATCAGACCTTGGCCAAGGTCACACCCCATTCCTCCCTACTGCAGCCTCCTGTCTGCTTCTTTCTTAGCACTAATCAACTCTGACATGTTTTGCCTGTATACTTTGTTTCCTTTTCTTTTCCCTTCCTCCTGCCCTCCCTTCCTGTCTCTGTCCACTGCAAAATGTGGCGGGGTGGGGACACTGTCTCTCTTGCTCATCAGTGAACCAGGCTTCCTCAACCTTGGCACGGCTGGCATGTGGGCTGGATGGTTCTTTGTTGTGCGAGTTAAGAGTGGTGAGCAGAATTCTTAACACACCAGGTGCCAACAGCATGTCCCCTCCCCCAGTTGTAACTGTCCGTCTTAGGTGTCCCTAGACTCTGCCAAATGTCCTGACTGTGAGCAAAATCACTTGGATGAGGATTTTCAGTGAGGACTCAAGTCCTAGTGCACAGTGCCTGGCCTGAAGCAGGTGCTGAGCAAACTCTGCAGCAGTGACAATCCTATTCATCGGGACCATCCTCTCACCCACTGCAACCAGCTCCCAGCTTTTCAAACGGGCCAGGCCTTCACGAAGCCACAGCCCCCAAAGCTGTGCTCGATGCTCATTTCCAGCCATCTCAAGCTGGACCCACTGAAGCTCGGCCTGTGCGTGGGGCTGTACCCGCCTTGCTCCCAGCAGCTGGCTGGTCCCTAGGCTTCAGTAAGTAAACGCGTATCGACCGCTTCTCTCTGCTTCTTTATGGAGATTCCCTGTCTGAGATCCTGCCTTGGCCGTGAGGCCATCGATGGGCATAAATTATTAATGTTGAAGGAAGAGAAGGCGTCTGGTGGTGTGGGGACTGTCGCCTCTGCCTATAGATGGCAGCAGGCTCAGAGGAGGCACCTGCCAAAAGGGGCTTCTTAAGCAAGACCTGGCCTCCTGCTCAGGCCAATGTAGAGGCGAGGATGTACCCCAGACATTGACATGAGCCTGTGGCCCAGTCACCAAAGCTTTTTATGCTTTGTCCACACACTGCCTGTGCAAGAAACTGACTTACTGGGTCCTTAAAGAAACTGACTTACTGGGTCCTTAACATCAATCTACTGAAAAGAAAATTAAAACATTAAAATACTTCTCTCTTGACACTTTAAAACTGCATGTTGATATAACTCTGCACAACCCCTAAGCATATCCCAAAGTACCACCCTTTGGAGAAACATTCTAGACGGAACTGCTTATCACGAGGTCCTGAAAGCAGGCCGGGAACCAAAATTTCAGGTCTGGCTATGTCAGAACAAGGTGCCATCAGTCCCTAACACGGTGGAGGGTCTGGAGTGGATTTTCCTCAGACATATCATCAGTGGCAGGCCCGATTAACAGAGTTCTCTGCCAGTCTCAGCAAAAGACTCAGGCAGCTTCTCCAGGTTGCAGCCAATTCCACCCATCCCCTGAGTGGCCAGGACAATGACATGTAGGAAAGCGCTTCTGGACCTGGACCACCATCGCGCTGCAGAATGTGCCCTGAGGCCCGTGGTCCTGAACCAAGGGATGGGGACGTCTGTCAACATTTAGGGGTGTTTTGGTTGTCACAACTAGGGAGAGAAGAACAGTCCTCCCCACAAAACCACCTAGCTCTGTAAATTAATAGTGCCAAGGTTGGGAAAGCCTGGCTTAGTCATAAAGACAGAGGTAGTAGGGAAGATGCCAGAAACCAGCCAGGCCAGTGAGTCTCCGGCCTGCATCACACACTCCTTCTTTGGTTGTACCTCCTCTCTCTCCTAGCAGGAGCTCCTCTTTCCAGCTCTTGGTGCAAACTGGGACTTGGTTCCCCCAGTTCCTCACCCTTGCTGCCTGCTTGGCCTTCCAAACATTACAGGAAACCAATGGAAATGATAACACCAAGATGGTGTGCAAGTTTCTAACAGAAACTTCTACAGAATTCTTATGGCCCTGGTCCAGATCTCTAGCTCCTGCCTTTTGTACACAGGAAATGGATACACTCTTACTTTCTGCTTTCATGCCTGCAGGTGGCACTTGACCCAGGCCTAGTCAGTCAGACCATGGATCCTGCCTGTTGGTCCCAACTAAGTGGTTTACCTACAGACGCACGGCCCAGACTAGACTCATGAGAATCACCCCTAGGATTTTGGCTAGCATAAACTAGAAAGAGGTCTTTTCTTTTTGCTGGGCTTGATAAGTTAGAAGACTAGAAACCTGGCACGGGAGGAGGGCAGATATGCCACACAAGGAAAGAACCTGTCCAAAACAGCAAGGGATCGAGTAGAGTCCTAATACACTGAATGGCCGGATTCACCTATGCTGGAAGCCATATCTGCAGTTCCAGCAGCCAATGAACTTCCCTCTTTTGATTTAAGCCAGTTTCAACTGGGCTCCTATCACTTGACAGGAAGTTCTCATATTCTTCACATGTGGAATGGCCCACTTCTTCCAGATAGTTCTGTCTATGCAATATCTAGACATATAGACAATATATAGACATATAGATGTCCAAGTCCCTATGACAGCTGGCAGTGACAGGAAGGAGCCAGGTTCCAGAGTAGGTCCCTATCATTCTGAAGATGCCCACAAGGTGACAGCCACCCCACTCCATAGCACAGTGGGCAGGCAGGATGGTTGAGGTTGGGGTGAATCACACCAAAGCCAAGACCACAGGCTCATGCCTGACTTCTCATACTAGCAAATGCCTGCAGTGTACCAATAATGCCACAGTGACAACTATGGTTGTCACTGGTGCTGTGTTGTGGAGAGCACTTTTCTCTGCACCACACGTCTAACACCCAAGAGTCTGTGGAACAGCCCTACGAGGCACATATGATTCCATCTCCATTTACAGGAGATAACACTGTGGGACAAGGAGGGCATAGGGTTTGTCCAAGGTCGTGCAGCCAGAAAGTGGTAGAGCCCACAGGCGAGTAACAGCAATTGTTTCTGAGCTCTTACTTCAGAGCAGGGTCTAGAAGCGTCACTGGCTAGCTGGCCACTCCATCTAAATTAGGTTCTCTCTGCCCTGTCAAAATGCATGCCAGCACTTCTGATCTTTATCTTTGTAGCACAGGCCACAACTTTCCATTCTTTTATTATTACTCTTTTGATCGGTTCCTCCTCACCCCACCCCCAGCCCAGGCCATCTTATTCTGGTAATCTGCTGCTGAATGAATTTATAGTCTTTAACAGGGCAGGAGTTCTCATCCCCATTTACAGAGAAGGAAAACCAGGGTCTGATAGGTTTAAATCAAAGTCTGAGGCTTGAATGGTACTGCAGGATCACTGTGGGGCTTGTTAGAAAGCAGACTCTCCCAGGGTCCGGCCATCTGTGTCCACAAGCCCTGCAGGTGATGCTGGGGTACACGGGCTCGATAAACAAGGACACATCCACCAGGAAGCCCTGCTCCTTCTCGGGCAACGCCTGCGTGAGGGAAGCTCCTGCCTTGTTAAAGCGGCCACCGGTGCCTCCCACCACCAACAGCAGGGCAGCTTCCCAAGAGCCCCCAACCTGAACAATATCAGATTAGCAGTTCCAAGTCAGCCCCCAGGCAGGGCCACTGGGAATAGGATGAATACATGGCAGCGACCCCAGGGGATACAAGCAGCAGCTCTGCCAGAGGAGCAGTGAATAAATGTGAACCAACTTGCAAGACTCAGCTCGCATACTAATTACCTTTGCTGCCAGCCAGACTCCCAAAAATGTGAGTCATTCATGTTCTAAAATGCACCCGCACACACTGCTAACGCCACATACATGCACACATGTACACGTATACACAAGCACGTGTGCGCAAACACCGGTGCAGGCACTCTACAGAAGGGCCAGAAGCAGCTCTGCTGGCCGGTACAGGAGCGGCTTCCTGTTTCTTTGTGCATGGGGTCCTGCAGATGGGGGGGGAGGGAATGGATGCAGGTGCACTTTCTTGTGGGAGAAGGACAGATAGACCTGTCTGGGCCACACAGAGGATTGGTTCTCCCAGCCTAGCCTCTCCCTAAGGCAGTAGGCATGAGCTTCAGTCAGACCTCCCAGTTTTAAATCCTGCCCCGTGGACTGGGGATGTAAGTGGTGGAATATGCACCTAGCCTGTTCAAGGCCCTGGGTTCCATACCCAGCACTGCCCAAGAAAGAAAAAAAGATCAATCTTGTCCCACATTCTTTGTCGGTACCCTGTCACCATGTGTGGCCGACTTCTATTTTTTGCCTTTATTTTCTTATCTCCAAAACTGGCCTCTCTTGGGGTTGTGGTGAAGATTATGATGACTGACAATTGGGCTTTAGGATAGCAATTAAAAAAAAATAAAGTGTCTGTTAAGTGAATAAGAGACTGGCAAACGCTCCCTTATCTGGAGTACTGAATTCTTCTGAAACTGTTTTCCTAGGGGGCAGTTGCCATGGAGATGGTGCGCGCATGTGTGTGTGTGTGTGTGTGTGTGTGTGTAACCTGGGTATTTTCCCTCTGCTGGACTCTGGCCTCCACCACATATCAAGCAAAGAGGTCCATGAGGAAGTAGAAAGGAGAGATCCTCTTGAGGGTGGTCTACTCTGGGAACCCCCAAATGCCTCTGCTATGCTGGGTAGGTGCTCCAGGTGGAAGCCTCACTACAAAGGTAGAAGCCTCGGCCAGCCCAGAGGCCCTGCGGTGTCTCTCTTGTGCGGTCAGAACCAGGACTCAGGGAGACCAAGCACAAAGCTCTTCTCTTGGGAACCAGGATCCTCTTTCCCTTCCACCCGTGGGAAAGAAGAAACAAAAGCTCTAAAACCACTCTGGAACACAGCATTCTGACTGTCTTCACTCTCCCGCTACCAGCAGGTCTCAGAGGAGGACATTCACCCTCACCCGGGTACTTTCTCGGTGAAGGCATGTTGATTCCAACCTCCAAAAAGATGGGGGAGGCAGCGTTAAAAGGGAAAGAAAAAATTACAGAGCAGGGGTGCTTGTGTGCAACAGCTCACATCTCTCCTAGCCCCAGGCACATTTAACAGTTCAGCCTCCAGATGAATATCTGGCACGGTTTCCATCAGACTCCTCCAGAGTGCAAGATCTCAGCAGGATGGAGGCCAGGACAAGGGAGTCAGACATAAGTGTATGACACTGGGCATAACTTCTCTGGTCCTCAGCCCCATCATCTATAAAATGGGCTTGGCTGTACCAGCTTCATGAGGCTGGTTTGAAAAGCACAGTACCAGTACAAGGAGCTTGGTGCCTGGCACAGTGCAAGCAAAGGTTATCTACCTGTTAGAAAGCCTCATAAACACCACTGCTCTGTTGGGACAAGGAGGACAGAAAGGTTAAGCAGTTGGGCAGAGGCTTACTGGAACTAACAGGCCACGCTGGGACTAGAACCTGTTTCTCTCAGCTCTGGACCCCAAGGTAGTTCCACTGTCCTCCTCGTCCAACTCCTTGTGTCTGGCAGAGGCTAAGAGTCAGGCTCCCCACAAAGCTCAGCATCACACTGTCCCAGCCTACTCCCACTGCAGCACTGGTGCATTTCCTGCTTGGCTGAATTCAACGGTTACAAGGTTTCCTGACATTAAGCGCTTTCCCAGACCCAACAAGCTGCCCCTGATATCTTTTCCAAGTTACACTACCTCATATCTTCATTTCCCAATGCTGACTTAAGACACTGGCCCATTTTGGGGCTCCCCGACTAAAAACCCTCAGAGGTTAGTGAACAGGGCTGCAAGAGCACAACTCTATGATCCGTGACTATGCAAAGCTGCTCCAGCCCTGTAAATACAAGCAATCATGTAGACGGGAATCACATCCTTGGCTGCCCCTTCCACAGTGCAGTTTCCTCTGCTGTACACATAACTAACTCAGAACCCCAGGGAAGCTCTTGGAAGCGGTGATTACAGGACCCTGGGCTAAAGGTGGAGCCTGGTTAGGGTAAGAACTGTCTGAAAGTGGGGATGGATCTGAAAGCCCAAGCCACTCCTCCAGTTAGCTCACCGGACTGAACCGGCCCAAAGCAGCCCCACAGGCTGGAAGGAAAGGGAGCTGCTGCCTGTTTCTTCATCCAGGTCCAGGGAGCTTTGGAAACACCAGATCGCCTGGATTCCTGCTCCAAGTGGTCCAAGGGTTCACCAGCCCAACAAAATTAACTCTAAACTATTTTTCCAGGGCTTTTTCCCAGGACCCCAGAGATGGTGATCCTGGCGGATACCTGTCACCCACTCCCACCCCCTAAGCTGCCTCCGGCCTCCGGCCTCCGGCCACGATGGCCTTTGTTCAGTTCCTCTGCGCTCTTCTCCACCCCAGCCTTGCCCCTACGGTGTCCTCCCCCTGATTCACGCTTCCCGGCACATCTCCCACTGCGTGGCCAGCCCCACCGCGAGCGGCTCCAGGCAGATGCGTTCCCCGGGGGCTTCTCTCACACACCCTTGCCACTTTCCTTCACAGCGCCCTGCCTTACTTTCCTGCAGCCCAGCCAGTGGGATGGTACATCTATCTGCTCTTCATCTGCTTCTTTAGTGTTTGCTCACCCATCTCCTCGGCCCCCTAAGAGCAGGGGCCGGTCCATGTTATACAAGCGGTTAGCCTAGCATCCAGTTCCCTGGCTGGCACATTTGTAGAAATAAAAATTTAACCAATAAAGATTTTTAAGCTTATTTTTCTAACAAACCTGTACGTCTTGCTGCCTGGGCCCCAAATGGAGACTCCTTCCCCCTCCCACCTTCTCCTCTTCCATCTCAGGGTGCCCTTTAAGACTCAGAGCAGCAACGGATTGGAAACAATGTTCACTCCACGGTCTAGATCGAAAACTGGCCGGGGGCAGGGCTCCCAACCAACAGCTGACAATTTGCATTTCATTTACATGTCATTTGCATGCAGTTGAACTCGAAGTCTGGCTACTCCAAAAGCCCCCAGTCCTGGCCGAAGAAGAAACTTCTGAAAAAACGTTCCTTGGCTGAAGTGCTGAGGTCTCAGGCCAGGCCCCTCCCCAATTCTTGTCTTTGCGGGGACCCCCGGGGCTTCCTGGGCTCCACTCAGGTGACCCCATCCCGCTGCAGCTGGGCAGCCAATGTGGCGCGTGTGCCGGGGCCCCAGGCGGGGACGGTGCTGCGCGCCACACTCCAGGGGCCTTTGTCCGCGCTCCAAGAAGCCGCCCCTTAGCCATCGCGGACGCGGAGGGGGAACTGGCTCTGCCAGGGTCTGACGGAGCAAGGACGGGGAAGGAGCCTGCAGTGTTCGGGCGCCTCCGGCACAAGGTCGGTGCGCCCCTCCGGGCCGGGTTACCCAGCGCCCCAGGGCCCAGGCGGGTGCTGGCTCCACTCCGGCGCTGGTTGTGTGGGGTCCTCAGAGGACGGAAGCCCGTGCCCCAACGAAGAGGACACAGCACAGGGTGGTCCTGACCCTCGCCTGGCTGCCTTTCTCAGAGGCCCAAGAGTTCCGCGTCTGGAACGGAAACGACCCTCTTCCATTGTACGCAGCCGCCCCCATTTGTCCCCCAGTCTCGGGTCTCAGCTCCCCGCTGCACCCGCCCCCCGCACCCGGTAGTGGTGGCCGCCGCCGCCGCGAGCTCGGGCCCCAGTCCCCGCGGCAGGTGCGGCTGCTCGGCCCCCAAGTCCCGCCTTGATGCCCCGCTCCGTCTCTACCGGACGCGGCCCCCTCCCCACCCGGCCGCCACTCGGCCCTGGGGCGCCCGCGGCTCCGCTCACAGGAGTCACCGAGCGCCGCTGCTCTTTACCTGGGGTCACCCCCGCCCCCCCAGGGACTTGGAGCTGCACCTGGTCTGGATACACAGCCCCCCAGTTCCTCAGATAAAGGCCCCCAGCCCCTCCTCCCCCGCCCCGCCTCTGCGGCTCCTCTCCCGCCGCCCTGTGGCTCCCCTCAGCCGAACCCCACTCCTCCCCCTGCAGATTAACCCGGGAGGGGGCGGTGGCTAGAAAAGCCCAGGAAGCGGACCCTCCAACCCTCCCAGCCCCATTGCGCCAAAAGTTTTTGAGGTCCCCGCGGCGCCCTCCACGGTGTGCACACGGCTCCACTCACCGACCCCCGCGCCCCGCAGCGCCCACGCTCCTGCTGGCCCTCGGCCCGAATCACATCTCCGCAGCGCGGCCGAGGCCCCGGCTCCG